CGGCCATGCAGCGAAGAGCGTAACGCAGGCAGAATAGTGGGCGGCCGCCCAGTGGGATTAAATTGCTTGTCAGAGCTGGGAGGAACCGAAACCACTTTGTGAAGCAGACTGGGCCTCCAGGAGCTGAGGTAGCGGTAGCCTGGTAGGTAGTAGGACTGATAGGTGTCCTTGGTGGTGCTGGTGGGAGCTAGATCTGGGAACAGGCAGCTCTTCTTCGTGCCGCAGTAACTGGCTAGCTGCGTGGTGCCCAGGAGCTCCATCCTGCGCTAGGCTCAGGCAGCTGCCCTCAGGCTGTCCAGCATCCACAGCTGCTCTGAGCAGCCCCGCGGCCTCTGCCACCCTTCTCGGGGCTGCGCGGTGCCTTGTGACACAGCGGAGATGTCACAGAGTTCCGAGGGCTGTTCCACCGCACCACCAGGCTGAAACCTGCCTGGGTTCCGGCGCTCCAAGGGGTCTCCATCCGTACCTTCTGTCCTAGGGCACACTGTTTTCCCCACAACGCAGCAGTGCTTTCCCTCGCAGCGCAGCGCGGTGCGTGTTGGGACCCAGATGTCTGGTCACGATGTGAGACTCTGGTTATAGCGCAGAGGGATTTGCCAGAGGGTCACTCTGGATGGGTCCGTAGGTCTACCTTCTGTGAGCTTACCTTGAGCGAAACGAAATAAAGGTTTTACTTCAGAGTGGTTCACGTATATCAGTTTAGTGGCTGCAGGGAAATGCAGCAGTGGAGACAAGCCTTCTGAAATGAAACAAGGCCTCTGGGAGTCATCTCTAACGATTGTCTAGTGATCTCTGCAGATAGTTTGCTACAAATGGACAAAAAAAAAAGTCTAACTATCTTGGGCTTTGTTCTTCCCCTCAACTGTATTCATCTTCCGTAAAAAGCACAAAAGATGTGAGAGACCTTCCTCTGATAATTATTTTTCTCCAGTTTAAAATGTTCAGTAACTTCTCAGCTAACTTTTCTAATTTTTCCTTTCAGCCTTCTGGCCTCTCTGGCAAAAAAAACTGTTTCTGAAATCCAGTGCTCTAAAATTGCGTTGTGACCCATCTTCTGTGCCAAGAATTTTGAACATAAATAATCGTTTGTAATTAGGCACTGTATTTCACTATCCTAAGAGTCCTTAAATCAGCACGGATTTCTTCTAGGTTGAATGCAAGACAATTGCCATCGTTTCTTCTTCTCCAGATATATAACTATGAAACAGCTTAACCTTTTTTTCAACTGGGGAAATAAAACATATATGTATATCTATGCATTACATTACAGCATATCTTGTCTCAGCTAGCATGACATTACACCCCAGCTAAGAAAGGTAGAGGTAATTTTAAATGAATGGTCATTGTAAGTTAAATTTATCTTCTCATGATGTTTAAAATATATAGAAATGTAAGTGCTAACTGTAGGGAGGTGAGGTACGGGCGGTGGAGCCACACACAGTGGGCAGGCACCAGGCTGGGGTGTATAAACAGGGTAAGATTGATACTGCAAATGCTCACGCACACAAAAAACTTTCTTCTTGCAAGAACTGATGGAACTAATTCACAGCAGCTGCCCAGGAGGGTAAAGTTATTCCTGAGCATGAGAGATTGCAAGAGTGCTGGCAGAGTTCACCGCTGAGTTCAGCCTGACTCAAACACTACACAAAGCCTATTTTTTGCCCAGATAGCCCTGCACAAAGAGCCCTTGCTGGCTCTGAGGAAGGGGGGTGCCGAGGAAGAGATTTACTTTTCCTTTTTGGTGATTTTTGTGGGGAATGTTCTATATAACCTCGGGAACAGGGAATGATCTGTTGGCCCCAAAAGAAAAATATTTGAACACATACCTCAGCTTAAAATGTGGAAAGTCCTGCTGACATCAGTGAATCTAATCCATATGTTTGAAAGGAAGCACAGACCCAAAGTGCTGTATTGAGCTGTGGTCAAAAACAGAGCCAAATTTTTCATAGGGAAGGTACGGTATAAATTTCTCAGATACGACTTACTGGCCAGTTCCTCCCACGCCAGAGATTCGAATTTGCTTAAACATTTGGACCCGCTTTCACGTAACATTTGTTTCATTAGTTTCCCATAGAAGATAATTACAGAGCAGTAAGTATGGAGGTTGTACAAGTATCAAGTGATGGTGAGCATTTACCTGAGGAAAATGTACTTGAAATGGAAAGTGGGCAATGGCCTATTTATTAATGACTGAAAAACAGGCCAAACTCCTCAAATACTTTAACTAAATGTATTTTGAGATTTTTTTCCTAGGGTTTTTTGTAGGTGGACAGTTACTCAGAAGTTTTTGTGGGTTTTTTTTTTCCCCAGTGTGTTCTTTCTAAAAAGCTTGCAGTGGTTGAATGTGGAGAGTATTCATAAAGAGACTTTGCAGTATTTTTCTTTCAGAAGGACAGGTTTAACACCAGGATGTGCTGATACTTTTCCAAATATTATCAGATACTCTTCTCTGTATATTGTGTTTCCAAGGTGAGACTGCCCTAGATAGTAACTTAAACACCTGTATGTTAAAACAATCAAGTTTGGGGACTAATCAGTTAGAAATGGGAGTACTTGAGACTCCTGACTGTGCTTAAATCAGTGTGCTTAAAATCCCTGTGCTCAAAAAATACTCTTTGTACAGCACCCTCAACCAAAGCAACAGAAGGAGTCTTTGCAAGCAGGAAAGGTGCTGGTTCACTCACAGTTCCTCCAAAACCACCGCCCCAACCTGCCTTTCTCTCAAGCTTGAGTTACCATCGGTGGTTTTTAAACTAGAATTCATGGTCCCTGCCTCAGCAGTAAGTCAGTCCGTCTCCCGGGCAGTAACCACGACAAGAGAGACTGTTGTTTCGAGGCTCGTACCTGTTATATGCATCCCCACGAGAAAAACTGCAAACTTTCTTAAAGGACATGAATGTATTTGCATTTTGCTGAAGCAAAGTGGTTACACTATTGTAGCAGCCGTTCAGATGGCTGTTGCTGCATCTGCAATGGTTGGGAGTCTGCGCTCTTTTAATCCTAACAGTACTGCGAGAATTTTATACGTAGGTAATGAGGAACTGAAGGGGAATTGAAAAGATTGTCAAAGATCTTGGAAAAACATTTTCCTCCTCATAAGAATAAATGTGGTCCCACGATTTAGTGCTCACTTCTATGTAGATTGGAAGCATTTGGAGGCAGGGATTGTCTTTTGCTGAATGTTGGTAAGAAATCCCCTGCTGGGGCTTCTCAGTTGGTCTCTTCAGGTGATTCGGCTTTAGAATTGCAGTTCATGCCCACAGCTTTTAGCCAGGCGTGCAGTCCGTTTGCGCTGGGGAGGCGAGCAGCGCAAGGAGCAGCCGCCGCTGTCTGCAGCCTGTAACTCGGTTCTTCGGCTGTGATGTTCTGAACGGAAGAGAGGACAAGGCCACGCTCGGGAGCAGCCGTGGGAGAGACAGAAAGGAGCAGTGATGGGGTGAGGTGGCCAGTAATAAGGTCCAGGTTACATCACCGGCTGCTGCACACTCCCTTGGTTGGGAAAATTAATTTACTATTAATTGATTTCATTAATTTTTACGTGCCAAATACAGTGGCTGTCTGATCACTCAAGTTGACGGGCCAAGTTAAGGTCGTCTTCCAAATGAATATACCCATTAAAGCAACAGAAATTGTCTACAGGAAGGTACAGAAATTAGTAGATTGACAATTGCTATGAAATACAGCAACGGCACGGTTTTGCTGACACGGTGCATGATCTCCTCGGTGTGAAACCTGGGAACCACGCAAGTGAGCGCGCGGCGGCGCCTCGGCAGCTGCACAGCCCCGCGCTGTGAAGGGAGCCGGCTCGACTGGCGGAGCGCGCCGCCT